GGTATTATTATTATTATAATTATAATTATTATTAGTATCAATTCCTGTATTAGTAGTGGTCGTAGCAGCAGTAATGGTATTATTATTTTCATAATTTGGTAGACCTTGATAAGAGGAAAGTGTAGGAATGTAAGAGAGACCATCATTGATCAATTGATGATTAATGTTATTAAGATGATTTTCCTCGTTGATCTTTTGGTTAAAGTGATCAGTGAGCGTACTAAAATATAAAGGAGAAGATGGTGCAGTGTTAGGCACAGGTGAGGGAGTTCTAGTGGAGTTATTGTCACCGAAAGTCAAATCACAACTATCATTCGTAGTAGTTGAAGTTGGCATTTCATTATAATTGTAAAAATCATCAGGATTTGCTGCCGAGTAAGAAGGCATCGTGGCGACATTTAAAGGCGTCAATATAGGTTTTGTTCGATTATTATTATTACCATTGCTGCTATTTCTATTTGTATTTTTATTATTATTATTGTCTGATATATTAGATCTATTGTCAATGGTCTCGTTATTATTATTGCTATCATTGCTATTATTGTTATTAATGTTGACGTTTAACTTTTGTTGATCCAATTGGGTATTGAATTGAAAGAGATCAAAATTTGATAAAGCGTTGGAATCCAAGGTGATGTATGGATTATATAAAGCAGAATCATTATAACCATAAATGGCAGATGCATCAGTAGCAGCAGTGACAGCGATATCATTTTGTTGAACAGATTGTAAATTTCCAGAATTTATGATCAAATCAAAATCAACGACGTTGTTTGAAGTATTATCAATAACGGTAGCATCAGTATTAGAATCACCGGTTGTTGCAGTAGATATTGTCGTTGTTGCTGGATAGCTGTTAATAGTCGATGATAAAGATGAAGACGGTGGTATTATTGGTGAATTTGAAGAAGAACAAGACGATGATAGTGATGATGTCGTCGACACATATGGTTGATATAATTTTGCAACGAAAGCAGCAGCAGCAAGTTTTTCATTTATGAAAGGTTGTATATAAGAATAATCGAATGATTGCTCTTGCTGCTGTTGTTTAACACAAATATTGTTATTGGCGTTATTGTTGTTACAGTTATCGTCAGTTTGATGAAGATGATAAGAATAGTCACTATTGTAAAATGGAGATACCATATCAACAGCGTGAGATATTGATAAGTTGTAATTATTATTGCTATTATTATTATTATTGCTGGCACTGTTGAAAGTTTCAGAGGTGAGGAAGGGTGACTGTACCATTTTTTTTTTTTTGTTTCTTTAAAAAAATTCTAAAATCAAGAGATGATAATTCTATTTTCTTTTAAATAAAAAAATTATATATTAGAATGACAAAATAATTTTATAATTTGATAAAGTTTAATTATAATTATATTAATAATTATATATTTGAAGAAAAAAAGAAGTGTTAAAAAAAAAAGCTAATAAATATTAATTTTTTTATTATTAATTTATTTATTTTTTTGTAAAAGTATTTTTTTTTGAAAAAAGCAAGAGAAATATATAATATATATACTTTACGATATATTTATTATATTAATATGTAATTTATATATATAATTGATAAGGTTATTATTGTTTTAAAAATTATTTAAATAATAATATTTTTAAAGTATATCAATATAAATAAATAAATTATATTATAAATTGTATAAATTATTGGGGGTTTCCAAAAAGATTTGGGCTCTCATTTGAAGAGTGATGATTAAAAAGTGATTTGTGATATAATTGGGTGATATGTAAAAGTGATGTTTTGAAATAAATAAATAATAAAGTGCCAAGAATGATGTAATTAGCCTACCGTTGATTTTAGTAGAGAAAATAATATTTATTGGTTAAAAATTATTTTATTATCTTCTATTATTAGAGGATAGAGAAATTTATTCGTTAAAGGTTTTTATTATTTTATAAGTGTATTTTTCTGTGGAGTATTTTTCAGTTTTTTTTTTTTTGATTTTTTGTTTTGAGAAAAATTGCGAGTATTTATGGAAAAAAAAAAAGGGGGCACTAAACAATTTTGTCGTTTTGTGTATGGGTAATTAAATATAATAAAAATATAAATATATGATGAATTAAAATATTGATTTTTTGGATTAAAGAAAGGAAAAGAAAAAAATATATTTGATGACGAATTATTTTGTTATTAGTTTCAGATGATGATGATTATACGAATATATACACACAGTATAAGATAAAAATTAATTTTGATCAATTATTCGTTAATTTCAAAATTAAAGTTATAAAACATTAATTATTGTATTGTGATGAAGAAAAAGGAAAAAATATCGTCAAAGGGTTAATATTTTTTAAAAAAAATAAAGAAAAGGGAATTAAAGGAGAAGAAGAGGTTACGAACGGTTTTTTTATTTTTCAATTGATGAAAATTTGTTCTCGAAATAAAAAAACAAACAAATAAAAAAACGTAAACAAGTTGAGAATTTATAAGATAATGTTTTTGCATTTCTTTACTTTAAATGTATAAAATTAAAATATCTATATTTTATTTTATCATTATATATTATAATATAATTATATGGATTGTTTATTATATCTATTTCTTTCTTTAAAAGTATGAATATATAAATTACAATAGGTTATTGTAAATTTAATGGCAAATCTCTCTTCAGAAAAATTATAAACAATAAGATGATTTTTTATATAACTGTAGTTTAATTAAATCTGTTATACAAACAAAAAGTTCTAATATATTGTTGATTGCCATGAAAAGTAAAGATCTGCAGACTGAGTGAATATAAATATATACAGCAGTATGACAATTATAACTAAATTAATAGCAAATTTCTAAAATGGCGTGTCATTATCTGATTTTTGTGTCTTAATACTGTGTGTATTGTTGTTGCTGGTGCCGGTGCCGGTGCAGATGCTGGTACTGGTGCTGGCAGATGAGAAGTGGCATTTATGGTACCTGTTGATGATGAGACCATCGATTGGTTATTATTGGGCATAGGTAGATATAACCGATGACTCACCCAAATAAATATTTTTATTCAATTAGTTTTTATTACATAAAAAAATTTGCCATCAAACTTTTAATAGTCAAAAGCTCGATACAACAACACTCACCGATAAACCTTTACTGCGTTTAATTTGTAACACGGCATAATTTCAACCTATAGAAGTATTGATGGGCGTATATTTAAGAAAGAAAATCGAATGTTATTAAAGTTGGCAATGATTAATTAAAGATGGATTTTCTATTAAGAATAATAGCACATTGTTTTTTTGTTATATATTTAGGAATGCGGTTTAGTGTTTGCATTAACATTTTTAATAATTAATTAATGATAATAATTACATTCGTTATTATATGGATTAATGTATGATGAAATTTAGACAGCAAAACAATTTGTTAATTGCGGTTAACATGAGAATGCCAATATTTTCTCAATCTCAAAATTCAATTATTTTATAAAATTTTGCCTACCAATCAAATTTCGCTTTTTACATAATCTAGAAGAACAAAGAACCATACCAAAGTAATGTGATTTTATTAAAACTATTTAAATATATAAATACATACACAAAACTTACAAATTTATATAAAAGTGGTTATCGGACTGGCTAATCTTACCACAATAATGATCATCATGTGTTAAAAA